AGGGGCGGAGCAGGGCGGGGCTGGGGGTGGGCTTATATGGCTTCCACTTCCAGGTCACAGTCCCTCATTGAGGACAATCGGGACGGGAACTTGAGCAGAAACTGCAGCAGATGCCACAGAGAAATGCCACTTACAGGTTCCTGCTTGGCTCATTTATACATCACAGCCCTGGGGACCTGCCTAGAGATGCGACTGTGCAGAGTGGGCGGGACTTGCCCACATCAATTATCAATCTAGACAAGGTCTCACACAACAGCCACAGGCCAGCTTGACCACGGCAATTTTTCATTTGAGGTTCCCCCTTCCCGACTGACTCTAGGTTGTATCAAATTGAAAACAAAGATTAATGAGGACAGACAGCGTCAGATAGGCCCATCTCTCTAATATTTTCTTATTTTCTTTTGAGATAGGGTCTCATAATGTAGCCTAGGCTATCTCTTTTCTGTCTTCTCAAATGTCACGGCTCTTGGCTCTCTTCCCTTCTTCCCTGTCCCCCTCCCCTTTGGATTTCTTTGGAGATAGTGGTTCACACGCTTCAGCCTCCAGAATTCTAGAGCTGTGCACTAGCATGCCTGGCTCCTTTTGTTAAAATAAACTTTTATTATTTTCTCTCTTTATAATGCATGAGTCACCCATAGGTACATTTTCATGATAATAGGTAATTTGAGAAATACAAGCAAATTAGAAGACAGCAGTTATTGCTCAGAGACATATCTTCCTTCCCTCTCTCTTCCCTCTTTTTTTCTTCCACACCCTTTCCTTTCTTTCTAAAAGTGACTCATCCACCTCAGGCTATCTTCAAACTCACTACAAAGCTGAGGAGTCTTTGGCTTTGATCCTCCTGCTTTCGTGCTGTTCTTAAAGGTATGCGTCACCATGCAGTGCTGGGGATTGAACCCAGGGCTTTGTGCATGTCAGGCGAGCACTCTACCAACTGAGCTACATCCCTAGCTTCCATCTTTCTTTCCCAATTATGCAATGTTTAAAACAAAACTGTGGTTGTACAATACTGGTTTTGTTCTTTTCTTTCTTTCTTTCTTTCTTTCTTTCTTTCTTTCTTTCTTTCCTTCTTTCTTTTTCTTTTTCTTTTTTTTTTTTTTTTGAGACAGAACTGGCTCTGTAGACCAGGCTGGCTTCCAATTCAGAGATCTACCTGCCTCTGCCTCCCAAGTACTAGGATTAAAGGCGTGCGCCACCACCGCCTGACTTACTTTCTAATTTCTTTAATCAAACTCTTGACCAGAAAGAGAACAAGTCCATTTCTAATGTTGTACGTTGTTGTCGTGGCTATCTGGCAGAGTTTAATCAAATAATTCAAAAGTCAATATTTTAATGCTAAGAGCACATTTCATTTCGAGCGTCCACCTCCTACAGTTCTTAGCCTGTCTTCTTGAAAGCAGCCTGGGTCCTGTAGTTTGTGATTGCTTACTTTCAGTACTTAAATATTTATAACAAGTGATATGAGTTCCTCCACAGTGGGTATGAGAATCACTTTTCCCTTCTTTCTCCAAATCAAGCTTTATGTATTGCAAGTGCCCACCTCACAGAGCCAGCAGGACATTCCATCCCAGTCATTATAACGGATTCTCCACCTTATGACCATGTGAAGATCTGCTTGGCCAGCCCCATACGAATCTTATGGCTGTTACTCCACTTTGATGGCATGGTCCCCTGAAACGCACTGAGTCTTCTCTCAGCAGGAGTTCGGAAGCCTTGCTGTGCTTGGTCTTCCTAATATAGGCTCCCCCATTCTCTGGAGCATCAACTGCATAGGAGCATAAGAGATACAGCTATCTCTCCAGTGAAGGAAAATCCCAAAGCCATTTCATTCAAAAATCCTGCAAAGCAGGGTTTTTTTTCATAACTTTAGAGAAGGTTCTTTAACACACACACACACACACACACACACACACACACACACACATATATATATATATCCCAACTTATTTCTTATTTTTTTCCTAGCTAGTTGGCTTTTCCACTCAAAGGAAATTTTCTTCCAAGACTTGTCCTGACCAGCAGGGCATTAAACAGGGGTCCAGGGAGGTCACCTGAAAGAGAGCGGGGTGGGGGTGGAGGGGGGAGGAAGGGAACAGGCAAAGACTCAGAGAATGGTGATCTGTCTATAGTCTGATAAAATCACACCGCGTTATACACACAAAAAAGGCAGGATGTGGGGAAGGGGATGATGCAGGAGCATAGGTGTTCAGGGGGAGTCCAGATATCTTCCAGAACAGTGTCAGTTGAATGAAGGTTCAGGGGACAGATCACTATGACTCTGCTTGTGATTTACTTGTCCTTATCTAAGTTGGTACTATCCACCAAGGCTACCTATCTACAAGGTCTATGACTATTTAGTCTGGCAATTTTCCACCAAAGCTGCTTGTTTATAATAGCTTCTAGGCATCTGTTTCAGTGTTTTTCCACAGAGACCCAAGACTTTGTGTTAGCAGGCATGTATGTCAGGCCTATTGCTGATTTTAGGCCTATGGCTGATTTTAAGCCTTCAGTGTATAAGCAGGGCTGCCCCTGACAAAGACTAATCATGGAAATGGTTGCTCTATTGAGTCTGAGAATGTGGCTTTTTCCCCTGTTGTATAATAGCCCCGAGTGGTCCTGAAAGGTCACACCCCTTTTAGGGATTGAAGATGAGGGGATGGAGGAAAGCTCTCTATAGTTTATAGTTACATAAAGAACACTAGTAGAATAGGGATTGAAGTGAGTCACTGCCTTGACTCAGATGCCCAGCACCAAAAAGAAAAGAGAAAAAATTGCCCAATCCCCTCTGAACATCAGTTAAATCTTTACATTGTCTTTTAAAAGTTGCAACATAATCTAATGCATAGTCTCAACTGAGAACTGCTGAGATAAATTGAACACCGAAGGCAACAGAGGAAACCGCTGTTGAGGGTGTCTCTAGAAAGGGACAAAAATGAATTAGTAAAGGAGGGTATGAGAGAGACTTACTTTTCACCAATGAACACCCAGGGCTTTATACATCCTAAGGTCATGCTACCCTCTAAAGCATATCTTCAGATTCCTGTTAATCTTGCGTTTACCTTGACTCTGTGTCACCTATTTTTAAAAGCAATGAGACTGACTTTTTTTCCAAAAAGCAAAACAGCTATATAGACCATTAGGAACAGATCATTAAATAGCTAGCAGGTCATCCCAACATCAGAGGGCTTTAGAAACCAGTAGCCTGTTCCACTGGGTGGTCAGGAAGTGCTGAGGGGTGGAATTCTGATATGATCCTTAACTACAATGATTCCTTGCCTGCTCATAATGCTAGAGGCTAACATACATCACGAGTTACTCTTTGATAAGAGATGTTTAGGGAAGAATACATTATAACTGATATGTGTTGTTCTCAGGAGGCCACGCCCAGATTCCATGAACTGAAGGGCAAATGCTCAGGCTTAGGGAGGTTAAAGAGATCTAGGTTCTGAGTGGCCAGGCTGCTGACCCGTTGTTAAAAGCAGATTATTAGGGAGCTCAGTCAGCTCAGTAGCAGCCTAGCAACTGGTTATCTTCTCCCGGAGCACCAGTGAAGGAAAGATGGACATTCAGGCCAAAGTCCAGCTCCCTGGAATGTTTTCCTAGGGAGATGCAACAGGAAGCAGCAGCTGGGAACAGTGAAACAGGAGGAAAAGCCACAATGGCTTACTACGGCTTCTTGGCTTCCATCCCTGGCACCAGACATAGTTGAGAGTTCTTAGGTTTGGGCATCTGATAGCTTCCGTCAAAATTCGTATCTGTCCCATCACCACTCGGTGGCATTGCCCTGACAAACAGTTTCTTGATGAATACTGTGACTCTCTGTTTCTTCATCTATAACAAAGATTGACAGAGACTGACAGAAAGAAGATGGGCTATTGCTTTTACTAAATCTGGCCAGTCTTTACTGGCTTCTGTTAAGTTCTGGGATGAGAGGAGATTTTTATTCACTACGGTTTCAATTTAAGAGAGTGGCCTTCTCACTTAACTGTGACAGGGTTATACTCAGTCAGTTATTGCCTACAGGACTGTAGCAACTCATCTACTGTCTGAGTCACAGTCCTTCACTCTACAAATGGAGCCAGTCACAGCCAGGTGTGGCTCTTCACACCTGTAAGCACTTGGAAGCAGGATTATTATGGGTTCAAGAACAACTAAGCTGCAGAGTGAGACCTTGTCAAAAAAAAAACACAACAAAACAACAAAAAGCATCCAAGTAACCAAGAAACAAAAACAAAAGACAAGGCCTTTAAGAGAGTTCAGTTGGTAAAACTGCTTGCCATCAAGTCGGACAACCTGAGTTTGGTTCCAGGATCCACACGGTAGAAGAGAGAAGAGAACCAATTAGACCTCCACATGCATACCCTCTATCTCATCCCCACACATAAATGTAATAAAAACCTTTAAAGCATTAAATATTTTAAAAGAAGAAAATCATAATACAGTATTCCCTCAAGCTTTGAGGACTGAATAAAATGTGTTGTGCTATGTGAGTGACTTAGGATGTAGAGACACAGATCTCTCTCTTTCGAGTAGAAGAAACGAACATTTGGGATAGGGCTAGCACAGAGCCCCTTTGATTTTTCTCCCTAACGATCATGGAAAGGTGTCAACAGGGGGTTGGGGTGGAATTTCATATTTATCTTTACACTTCCATTTACAACTTTAAAAGCATCTTCTGGTTTTTGGCTCTTGGGTGGAGAATGAGTCCTGGGGCGAGAGCCTGTGGCCATTCGAAGCCTTTAGAGGCAAGCTGGGTTCCGGGCGCGTCCCCGCGGGCCTGGGGATCTTCCGCGACTCCGGCCCAGCGCGAGTCCAGGCAGTAGACCCCGGGATCCTCAGAAGATTCACAGACTTTGACGCGTGGCTTGTAGTCCAGAACAGCCAATTACAATGAAGCGAGCGACCGAGGGGCGGGGCTGTTGCCCGCCGGCCCGAGTGATTGGCCAGCGGCCGTGCCGCCACGCCACGTGACTTCCACGCCGCGGGCCTTGCGCGGTTCCTTCCTCTGGTGACTGTGGCCGGCTGCCGCCTCCTCGGGGCCGGGCTATGGGCGGGGACGGTTGCCGGGGTATTAAAGGGAGGCTCGCCCACGACTGGACTGCCTGGACCCGTGCGGTGGTGAACCCGCCGCCCAGTCTTGCGGGAGGACGCTCCTCAGGAGCCCGTGTACGGCGGCCCCGAGCCCTAAGGTGAGGAAGGGAGGCGGGAGGGGAGCGCCGCGGTCAGCAGGGCGTCTGCAGCCGAGATAAAACCGGACAGGTGCTGACCTGGCAGTCCTGCCGTGGCCCAGTGCTAGCCGGGCTGCCTCGGACCTCATGTGTCCGGGCTGGACCGAGGCGCTATCTCCACCTTCCACTTCTAGTTAGATGCAAAAGTGCAGAAATCTTTTTACACTTAACTAGAGTTTGTATTCTTTCAGTGGTTAGGTGGACGGACACGCTGAGAAGATACTTCACCTCTCCCCAGTTCTCTCACAAATTGGGGTTCACAGAGATATAAGTATTCAGACATCAAGTTCCTTTTTTGGCACTATGCTACTGCTGTTTTTCCTCTTTGCTCTAGGGCTCTTTTTGGCTGTGGGGGTGCTGGGAATTGAACCAAAGTCCTCCCCCAAGTATTCTTTCGAGCTATATACTCCTAGTCCTAACCCCACGATATTTTTAATGAGACATCTAGAACTAGTGTGATATACTGTGTTGGATATAGAAGAAATTCTTTATGAAATTTAAACCTGTAACAAGTGTAAAGTCGTTCAGGAATGTTAAAGATTGCAAGAGACAGAGCCTAATATCTATTGTACTGCATAAACACGTCTCTCTCATGTACTGTACTATTCTGAGATCTTCGTTTGTGTGAGGTATTTGGTAACCTCTCCATTTTACAGGTCAGAAATTGATGCCGAGTGGTTTTCACCAGTACCATCAAGCTGTTGAATAGTAGCTGGGATCTGAGTAGCTATTGATCTTGCCTATTGATTTACCAGCTGTGGTCCCAGGCTCACTAGTTCAGCATCACCCAGAATACAGAGCCTTCTGTTTCCTGTGATTTGCAGGGGCAGGCCCAAGAATCTGCATTTTTATCTGAAATCTATGCTGAAAACATTGTATAGTACTGTGATGTGCTGCCTCCTAGAGGAAAAGCTACAAATGAACAACATTTGGGGCTTTGGAGATCTCCAAATTGTATTTTAGGATAAGTTTTAAAAGTAGACATTATAAGCTTTGAGTGAGCAAAGCCCCAAGTAGATGCTTAACAAACTATAGTGTTTTGATGCAGGCTTGGTTTTAGTGTCTATGGAATGAGGTGCACACACTTGGTGAGTTAGACTGAGATTCCCTTCCCCCAACCCCCACCCTGTAAAGCTCTTAAACCATCATTTGTCCACTTTACAAATACTTATAAAGCACTCAATAGCTGTTATGCAAGCAACTTGAGGTTACAGCTTAAACAGAATAAGTGTAGGAGCTGGAAAGATGGCACAGTGCTTGGGAGAATAGACTGCTCCAGCAGAGGCTTGAGTTAGGCCCCCAGGGCCCACGGTGGATGCCTTGCAACCACCTGTAACTGATGAGGTCCTCAGACCCTCTTCTGGACTCCAAGGGCACCTATGCACGAGCGCACACATACACACACACACACTCACATGTACATGTAATTCCAATGAATCTTTTAAAAGTGAATATGTAATAGAAATGGCAAAAAGGCCATAGGGGAAAGCCAAGCCAAGGAGAAGGGCAGGCGGCCCCTTGAGGCAGACATGGGGATGGCAGGGGTGCTATTAAGGAGCTGATCGGTGAGGTCACATTTGAGGAAAATAAAAAGAACAAGTTGTGAATATAATTGGAGAAAGACAATACAGATAGAAGAAACAAAGATCTACGGAGGAAGCCAAAGCAGGAGATTATAACACAGACATAACTTTATATTGTTGTTCCTAATAGAAAATGAAAGAATATTTTAGTAGTGTGTTCACATACCATAAACCATCAATGGAGGGCATGTAATAGTTGGCCATGATCACTGCTAGTGTCATGTGAGATGGAGACTGGAGGATCTCAGGAGCTCGCTTGTCAGCCAGCCTAGCTAAAACTCTTGAGTTTTGGACTCAGTGAGAGACCCTGTTCATAAAATACAGTGGTGAGTCATCAAAATGGTTTAGTGGATAAAGGCATGTGCCTGCACACAGGACCACACATGTACACATGCAATAATCGAACACTGGTGCCTACACACAGGACCACACATGTACACATACAATAATTAATTTTTAATTAAAAAGACATGTACACTACAGTATGCATATATATATACATACATGACTATAAATTTATCTTTTTTTTAATTTATTTTTTCTCAAATTGTAATTCATTCACACAGGGGTTATAAACACAGAAAGGCAGGATGTGGGGAAGGGGATGACACTGGAGTGTGGGTGTTCAGGGGGAATACAGATACCTTTCAGAACCGGGTATCGGCTGGGTGAAGGTTCAGGGGACAAGTCACTATGACTCTGCCTATGACTTGCTTGTCCTTATCTAAGTTGGTATTGTCTGCCAAGACTACCTACTTACAAGGTCTATGACTACTCAGGCTGGTAAATTTCCACAAAAGCTGCCTGTTGACATTAGCTTACAGCCATCTGTTTCAATGTTTTTCCACTGAG